TCACCTTGAAGACTGGAGTAGATTTGACAAGTGATTAGAAAAAAGTTGGACAGATGCAGATGGGGGGAAGCCAAGGAAAATCAAGATAAATTGCCCGGAGATTTTAGGTGAGTTCTAAAGTAATACAGTTGTTGCAGGTGTAACTATTGTTGAGAGGGAACAGGCAAGAGAAAGGTGTTGAGTTAGGGACACGGGGAAGGTGCAACCAGGACAACAAATAAAGTAGATCCAGCTGGACGACAGCAGCACAAGTTCAGGCCTGGATTAGATGTTGATCTAATGGAAGATCATCTCTTGCTGGGATTATCTACCTAGGAAAATTCTGTTTGCACAGGGTGGTTCAGAGGAAGACTCAGTGAGGCAGAAATTCAGAAAAAGCCTCTACTCTGAAAATCTGCCTGACCCTAGGTGACTCCTGACACCCTACTCTTACTCAGGAATACGACTCTGTGTCCTTCCCAAGTGATAAACGAGCTGGCAGAGATGGCTGAGGCAGTCCATCTCCACACATCTCCTCCTTTGAAGAGATAGCACCCTGTCCTGTGACTAATACAATTCACAGCTAAAGGCTATGAACTAGTTTTATTACATCTTAGGAACACAGGGCACTGTTTCTCTTCAAGGCTAAGATAAGAAAGTGACTTGGGAATAACTAACTGCCTTTGTTTCTTGTTTCTGTAACTTGCTTGCTAAATGCCAAAGATTGCATATAAGGGACCCTTTTGCTGTTGTGGTTTGCTCAGCCATTTTTGGACACAGAGTCCACTGGGCTGGTGTATACACCTTAAATGAAATCCTCCAGACTCCTGTTTGGTATCTCCTGTCTCTTGGAATTCTGAAACATCAAGGGAAAAAAGTCAAAGCTAGAAAGGAAGAGAAAATAAAAGGATAAATAGTTTAAAAAAGTATTTAAAAAGCAAGTTAAATTGTTAGAAGCTCATAGTCTACCATGCAAATCCCAGAGCATTTATAACGTGAGAAATGCAGTGTCTAGAAGAGCATGAGCAGAGGTATTGTTTCTCCCTGGGACCTGAGAAACCAGATGCAGAAGCATCAACAGCAGAGTCAGAGGTGTGCCACAGAAGACGCCTCAGGCGGAACAAACAGGAGAAACACTGGGGAATCATCCTAAGGAGTCAAAGTGCAGGAACCTAAGCGATTCCATAATGAGAGCAAGTGAAGTCAGTCATTGGGTTCAGGACTTGCAATGTTGCCCACCCGAGATGAGAGACCTTCCCACTAAGTAATAGAGCCTTCCTCGGTGCACCACACATAGCAGAAATACCAGCTTCAGCAGAGGGTTAGGTAGGAAGACAAATCTCTCGCCCCTTGGTTTTCATGCAAAGGGACTTTGATTCAACTAGCAATACTTAACTTTCCCCTGTTAGGATGAGACAGTAGCCCAATTAAAAACAAGGTAAACAACCAAAAGCCAAACACATCTCCATGTCCGGATAGTAAAAGGCTGTCCAGAAGAAACTGAGGCTTAGAGATTAAACCCCCTTACAAGATAAAGTCCAAACATATTAAAATACAAAGAATCAAAGTTCAAAGCTCAAAATTTGCTTTCGCTGTACAAAAAGAAAAAAATTGAATGCCTTCCCAGCTCCTGATTCTGAGTGTCTCCACCGTGGGGTTCCTGAAGTTAGAGGTAAGGGCCCTTCAACAGCCACAGCCATAGATGGTCTCTCCCCATGACAGGTCACCCCGTTAGGACTTCTGACATGCTATTTGTTCACCTCCTATTTTCTGATGAACTTCACTCGCCAAAAAGTTGACTGCATTAGCAGAAACCAGTGCTGGCCTCTCATCTACTGTCTTAGTTACTCTTTCTCTTGTTGCTGAGACAAAATACCTGACTCCCAAAGTTGAAAGGTGAAGGTTTATGATATTTACATAAAGAAAATCATAAAATCCAATGCTTTGGCATGCTGTGTTATGTTTTGTGTGCTGTACTCCAGTTTGGTTATAGGACTTCTGCACATTGCAAACATAAACAGCATGGAAAAGGTTAAATACCTGTGTTCAGATTTTAAGATCTATTCCAGACTTGCTGTGTATATTGTAACATTAAATGAGAGATGAACCCCCTCCCTTTGTATTACTAAAAAAAGGGGGAGGTGGGCTGGGTATTTAGCTCAGTGGTTTTGCCGCCTGCTGCGCAAGTGCAAGGACCCGAGTTCGATCCCCAGTACCAAAAAAAAAGGGGAGGGTAGTTATTTAGGTAACAGTTTGTAGAGGTTTCAGTCCATAATTGGCTGGCTCCAAGACAGAGTGGCACATGACAGAGGGACGTTGTGGAGGAGAAACAGTTCATTGTACATGGAAGACAGGAAACGCAACAAGGGGACCTTAACAGTGTCTTTCTTCCCCTTTTATCCAGACTACCAGGATTAGGTTGGTGCCAAACCAATCAGTGTACTGGTTTAGCAATCACACACTCTAGATTCAGCCATCTCTGAAAAAGCTACCTATGACCACGTGAGGCTTTGGAGGGGACATCTAGACTCAAACAATAATACCTACCTTCCAAAGTTAGGAAATAAATCATTCACTGTTCCTGCAGCCAGTGCCAAGCAAACATGTATTCCAAGAAAGAAGACATAGGCTAAGATCTCACCGAAGGTCAGATATTGAGTCAACTTTCCTGGGTTGACTGTCAGGGCAAATAGTCCAAGTTTACAACCTGTGATGATAAACTCACCTGGGGTGGGAGGACGATTTTCATAAGAAGTTATATGGGTATTGTGTTTAACAATTCTCAGGGGTAAGAAAAAAGCCATCTATGTATTTGTCTCAGAAGCAATTGAATCATTTTGCTTTCTTACAAGTTTAGATATTTGCAAAAGTGGACTTTCTCGGTGTCTCCAGGTGTTTTTCTCATTCTATCAATTAAAAATCTCTTCATTGCTCTCTCCATCTGGAGCCCTTGTACTTAATTGATCAGGGATTCTAATGACATAGTGCACTTCCAGTCCCATGCCTCAGTGGCTGTTTTCAATTACTTTCGATAAGCAGTCTGCCCTGAGGTAGTTTCCCCAGCACCACTGTGACCTCAGACGACAGTATGGAGGAGTTCTGAGGATGTGGACATACTGCACAAATACAAGGTTTGTCCCTCCATCGTTCCCTTCCTGACTCAGAACGCAGAATGAAATTTGGAACATGCCCAGGTGGTGCTGCCTACCCACACGGTCATGGACTTTTCCAGTTACATACTCAGTAGTCCTCAGTAGCACAAAGAGAGTAGGAAAATAATTCAATCTTTCCTATAACATTATCTTGTTTAAATTAACAAATTCACTGATTATAACCTTGTACCACTTAGTGTAGTTTTCACATAGGAATTCTGATATGTTCTATTTCATGCAATTCTTATCAAGAAAAACTGCTACGGTTGGACCTAAAATGTCTCCTAAAGGCTACATGATAAAGGCCTGATTGCCAGCTGATGGGATTTCAGGAAGTGATGAAGTCACAAGAGCCTCAGCTTCACTGAAGGATTCATAATCTGATGGCATGACTGGGAGGTGATGGAAACTGAAGAGCTGAGGCCCAATCAAAATGGATTATGGGGCTGCCTTGGTTACTTTTCTCTTGTTGCTGAGATAAAATACCCAACGCCCAAAGTTAAAGGGGAAAGGTTAATTTGGCTCACGGCTCATAGAGGTTTCGGGCCCTAATTGGCTGGTTTCAAGGCAGGGTTGCATGGCAGAGGGGCGTCACAGAGGAGAAACAGTTTACGGCACCCACATAGTAGCAAAAGCAACAAGGGACCTTAACATCGTCTTTCTGCCCCCTTTATCCCATCCAGACCATGGGATTAGGGCTTGGTGCGGTACAAATGGCCAAGGTACAATGCGGACTACCTGGCATTCACCAACCACATCAACAGCTGTGTATTATTTGCTTAATGCCTAGGACTTAGAGTTCTACCTGAGAGATAAAAATCAGGAGCAAACAAGATGTGTTTTAGTCTCTTAACATCTTTAACCTCTGCTTACCTCTTGTATGCTTAGTTCAGCTTTCTCTCCCTTCTCCAGATGTGTGCCTGAAGAGAGGGTATAATTTGGTTTATTTCTCAAAAGGAACCTTCTAAGGGAGAAGATAGTTGTTTGCATACACTAGCTTAATTCAGGAGACTGTTAGCAAGCCCATTTGGCTACACATTTACCTCCCCCTAATCGAGATATTTATAATTAAATAAATCATATGCTTTTATCTTATTCTGCCTCAATTGGTTCCAAATTCAAGCAGGAAAGAAAAGTATTATGGGTCTTCTCAAAGTCCAACACAGATAAAAGACAATGACATCTACAAGTCAGTGACAATAATTAAGGAAGGAAGCACAGGAATTTGAAAAACATTTTAAGAAGTAGAATTGATGAGACTCACTGTTGGACTAGTTATAGGGAGAGTATCAGGGCTCCCCAAAACCACCATACATTTGGGGATTCACTGGAAGGACACAAGAGATATTACGATCATTCTCATGCTAATATGACTGTGATATAGTAAAGACTCACACAGCTGGATCATAAGGAAAAAGGACCCCTCTCACAAGGGGTCACATGGAGTCCACTTTTTCTCCAGCAATCCCAGTGCAGAATGGTGTGCAATGATTCTGCCATCAGAAGCCCATTACACATTTGACACTCTAAGTTTTTTTGGAACCCATAAATGTGCACATATTTGTCTCCTCCATCTTCGAAAGTGACACTGACCTTCAGACTTACAGAAGACACCTGGATGTCATCCTTAACATTTCCCTTTTCCTCATTCCCCTTGTGCAGTCAGAGGTCCCACAGCTGACCTGATGCTGCTGTCCTTAAACAGTCAGCTTTCAAGGTTGGCCTCAGGCTGGCATTTAGGAACACAGCCGGCAAACACTCCCCTCCACTGAAAATCAACATTGTAATTCTGAACACAATGCAATTAAATTCAGTAAGATATCAGGTTAAATTATGCTATAATACAACATAAGTAACCTCAAAATTTAGTGCTTTGACATAACAAACGTTTATTTTTCACTTAAGTTACCTGTCTCACAATTTGGTTGAAGTTGGGGAGTTCAGGGGGAGGAGCTGATGTTCTTTGTTCCACGTGGTCACTCCCTAACCCAGGCTGGCAGAAGCTCCATCATCTAGAATGCAGTTCATTCTTGTGACTGAAGAACAGGCCACTGGAGACGTTGCATGTCGCTCATCGTGCTTTCGTTGAGGAGTGCACACCCCACTTCCGCCATCACAATTCAGGTACGTGGGGCTGCAAGTAGGCGGGATGTTTAGCGAACACCGTCATTTCTACCACAATGTCCAGGTGGAAAAGTCAAATATAGGTTGTGGAGATACTGCTTTAGGAATCATAGAATACAGGTGGCATTCAAGGCCACCCTCACTTTCTTATGACCTGAGAGAGCCACAGTGGCATAATGAGATCAATGTTAGCAAAAATGGTTTGAAGGAGCAGGAGGTCCAGATCAGTGCAGACCCTGCAAACCCCGTGTCGTCAAGCTAGCAGTGCACAGGTGCCCTCACTAACACAGAGAACTTGTGAAGGCAATTCGTAAACTTCTCTAAAGGGAGGGGGCTTAAAAACCAAGGTGAGAGGGGACAGTGAAACTGTCCCTAGTCATGCATGATGATAGACACAGGACCACAGAGGAAGGGCTGGGGTTGTGCACGCCACAGGTACCACTAGGTGTCACCAGTAGGCCACATACAGTAATAAACACCAGGAAGCCAAGAATGAAAGAACAAGGAGGAAGGGAAGAAGTTGTAAACTGGCTCCTAGAAATGAAGTAGAAAGTGTTGCAGGTTGGCCACACACAGAACTTTCTAGTGGCAGTGCCCACGCTGGTTAGAACTGTTCCAGTGCACACAGGCATACACAAAAGCAAAACAGCATCGGAGCCATGGATTCTAGTCTGAACTGTAACGACTTCCAAATGGACTTTACAACGATGGGTTCTTACTGTTGCCTATTGTGCAGGCCTGTGCATGGCTGGGTGAGTCTGTGCGGTGCATCTGGGAAGCGAGGTCAGGAGTTGTACTGTCCTCCAGGACAGCTTTCCAAACCTCGGATTATCACATGGATAACCACATGAATACTTTTGGTAGAGACAAAGGAAAGTTTCCTTTCCTCTCATTCTTCTAGTGCATCTATACGTGTATATCTACGGAAGGGTTGAGTTTATTCAAAATCAGATTTAAGGCTGATGGACCTAAAATGTGTCCTTTCTTTAATCCCCAGATTATGCCAAAGTAAACCAGGACTGTCCATTGGAAAAGGCAAAACTAGCTGGGCATGGTAGTGCACGCCTATAATCCCAGCACTCAGGAGGCTGAGGCAGGGGGACTGCTATGACTACAAGGCTAGCCTGAACTACACAGTGAGATCATCTCAAAAAACAACACAAACAAAAAAGAACTGGCAAATCTTACTGAGTCCTTTCATAACACAAACCAGTTACTTACTGCTAACACCCTCCATGTGCCAATGAAATAATTTGGAACAACTAATTTATAATGGAAATGATAAGAAATAAAAATATATCTTTTGGGGCCAAGGATTTAGCTCAGTGGTTCCACTGCCTGCCTTGCAAGCACAAGGTCTCAAGCTCAATCCCCGGTACCAACAACAAAAACAAAACAAAACAAAACAAAAAATATATCTTATTATCACTTCGGTAAGATATATCAAAACTAGATTGTTCATTTGCATTTTAGTCAATGAAACAACCAAAAGAAAATTATCCTATATTACAGATCTCTCTAAAAGCATACCAAACAGAACAAAAGCAGAAGAAACTAGCACTGGAGACCAATTCATTATTTGGAGTTTTTACATATTGAGGCTAATTTCTAAAGCGGCATTTATATGGCACACTGCTGTAAGCGGAAGTGGTGCCCGGGATATCTGAAGTCTGAGATCATTACATCGGCATAAGGGGCGGTCTTTATTTTTTTAATAAATTTTATTTTATCTCATTCCCCCTCAAGCCCTCCTCTCCCTATGTACAAAAGCTTTGTTTCCATTGTTTCCTTCTATTTTCACTTTTTTTTCTTGTCGCTTCCTTTAGTTTTTTCTCTTTATACTTCCATAAATTTTTTTAAAATGCTTGTGCTATGGAAGCAAGCAAGGTCTGGTGGCTTTTTAAGTGTCCTATCCTCCTAATGCAGTGTCTCTTAACCTTGGCGATGCCTTAAAGCCACCTGAGTTTTAAAAAGTCATGAGACCCAGTCTGCACCCCACACAGACATGCAACTTCCTAGTGATTCCAGTATGAAACCAGGATCGCCGACCACTCCTTATGCTGATGTTTCTTAAAGTCAGAAGAAAAGTGAGTCATGGCTTTCTTCTGACTTTAAGAAATAAAGTTTCTATACATAAAGCTGTATCTCAAGAAATAATTCTTTTTTACCAGAATCCACACTACACATAATATTCTATGCTGTGCCTTTTAAAATTCACTACAACTTGGAATCAGTCCTTTGAATACACAGTCACAGTTACAAAGAAATTCGTATGTCTGCGATGCATTTAATTTAATCACTCCCCTGGGTTAAGGATCACTTTAGCTACTACTATTTTTGTTGCAATAAACATCCTCATACATGGATTACATGTGTTGGGACAAATGCCTGTGAATATTTTTATAGGGAAAATATTTTTACATGCATCAAGACAAACTTCTGCAAATATTTAAGGAGTAAAGTATTTTATAGAGTAAAATTTTTCATAGGGGAAATTATTTTTATAAAGTAAAATGTCATAGGGTAAAATCTCCTAGGAGACCGCTGGGTGCATTTAAGTTTGGGATAAATGTAGTGAGAACAAAAACACCTAGAAAATAAACTGATACCACTCACGTCAAACAGGATTAAGACTACCAATGTGGGGGTGCTGGCGCTCCACTGGCCGACTGTCACCACCAGGCGGGGTCATCGGAGGGGAGGACCACCGAGGCGGACACTCGCCGGCCACGTGGACCGCTATGCCCCGCTCCGCGGAGGCGCCGCCAGGGGCTGGAGCTCGGGATCGCGCAGTCGCAGCGCGCGAGGCCCTTGGT